GTACCGGAGAAAAACCAAAAAAATAATAATAATAATAAAAAAAATAATGTGTATGTTGTATACAGCTGGTGGATATTATCCCAGCTAAGTAAACAGACCTGTGTGCATTAGGAAAATAAATGAAGAATGAGATCCAGGAAGTAACCTCAATTCACTCTACTAGGTTTAAATTATATCCCCTAGAAACACGTGATGAGAACCCTTAGCAGAAGGTCTACCGAAGGTGAATATTCGGCTTGAAGAAATCCTGTTCTCTGTAGTTTGCCTCTCGTGGACACGTGGTTTCTGGCTGCCCAGCATCCCGGCCCCAGCTGACTGGCAACAGGCTGTAGTTTGCTTCAGGAACTCCATCCTGCCACACGCGTGGTTCAGGAGGGCCTGCCAGTCCCAGTACTGTTCGGTATGGGCCGCAGAGATGGCCCTGACCCGGCCCCAGCCAGGTACCTCAGACAGAAGTCAGGTTATCCTTGAAGAAATGGAAGTCGTTAGCCTCAGCCTTGTCAGTGACACCAGCTTCTAAAAAACTGGTTCTCCAACGTTTGCCTGCTCCAGACACACTTGGAGTTACGGCTGATCCGTGTTAACCAGCTAGGCACGCAGCTGCGTCACCCTCAACAGAGGAGCCCTTGGCTCCTGAGGACTCGTGGAGCAATTTCCAGGTGTACATGAGCTTTGGCTCTCCAGATATAGCCGCTTGGGCCACCAGGCTTGGAAAGCAGTAGAAAATGTTCACATATAGGAAAAGACTTAGAAGCCCTAGTGAGTACCTGGATGACACCTCCCTAAGTGTACTTACTGGGAAAATGAGATACAAAACAAGGTAAGTATGAAAATGGAAACTACACATGTGTGTGTGTTATATATGTAACTGTATATATATATTTTCCATTTTCCCTTCCATATATATATATATATAGAGAGAGAGAGAGAGAGAGAAACAAAAAAATGGCAATATATGGTTTTACCCAAAACACACAACCCTGCCAGCCCTTAGAGAAGAAATTGAAAATGCATAGGCAGCAATCTCAGTGACCAAGGTTACCCAAGCAGCAGTTCACCGTACTAATAAGTGTCTGCAAGCTAATGGCCACTACTTTGAGCACCTCTTGTAATTGTAGAAGCCAAAGGTAACTTGTGTCAATAAATTTAGTATTAAAATATCTATGCAAGTTTTTCTTTTCCTGAAGTATCTATACATTTTGCTTCTCTCCCATATATATATATATATATGGCTCCATATTGTAAAAATAAGAAAATGATAGTGATCATACATATGACTTAAATTAACAAAAACTGGAGTAATATATACAAATAAAGTTAAAAAAAAACTAAACTACCTCCAGAAAATAGTACTATGATTGAATTATTCTGATGTTCACCTTGAAAAATGTTTTTTTAAATGCTTTGAAAAGCATTAAGTTAACCACAAACAATTAAAAGGAATTAAAAGAAGTATATATGTTATGCACATCACTGTATCCCATTTACATTTAGTTTATTCATTTCACAAACAGTGAGTACCTTTTCAGGCCAGGCACTGGATTATATTCTTAGGTAGAAAGTTAGCTAAGAAGTAGTCCCTGCAACAAAATAGAGTAAAACAAAACAACCAGAAAACCAAAACCAAAAAATCCAAAACAAACCAAAAACCATAAAAAGCAAACCAAAAACAAAAACAGCAAGGGAAGAGAAGTAGGATTAAACATGTCCAGACAAAGCAATTATGCTAATACATATAATAAGGTAAACTCTCAATTTAATAAAGAATTTAGGTTGACTTAAAAAAATTCAATGAAAGAGAGTCTTCAGGTAAGTTGATCTGGAAAGGTTAAAATTTGAAAATGGAAAACTATTAGGTAAAAATGAAAGCAAATTCCCCAGAATTCTTATTAGACAAAATAGTAGACAAGGGAAAATATACATTTGATATTAACAAAAGGAATATACCACAATAAAGGTATGGTAGTTAATTCCTTTATGTTCAAACATGTAATCTTAAAATATGTAAAACAAAAATATATAAATATAGGAGATATGGCTTGAACAATTGTAGAAGTTGACTTTATATCTCATTTTGAATTCAGCAGATGAAGTAGATCATAATAAAATACTGTAGACTATTTTACTATATAATAATGTTGAGTCAATAGGAATACATATTTTAAACTTTTTTTTTTTCTTTACGGGCAATAGATAGCTTTTTATTTATTTATTTATTTATTTATTTATTTTGGTTTTTCTCCGGTACTGGGAACCGAACTCACGACCTTGCGCTTGCCAGGCAGGCACTTTGCTGCTGAGCTAAATCCCCAGCCCCTAGATAGCTTTTTAAACTGGGAAAATGCAGTTAAAACTATTGATCATGTCCCAGGGCACAAAGGAAAATAATTGTGAATTTCCCAAAGAAAAGAGTAGTAAAAAGCACCATGTTTTCTGACAGCATTCCAAATTAATAACGAATATTTTGGAAATAAAAAGCACTTGGCTTAGTAACTATGAAAGTGAAAAGGAATTGTAAAAGCAATTACAAAATATGTAGCGTATGAGTCACGGATGTGCTTCAGCCAAGATTCTAATAAGAGGTAAATTCATAGACTAGATCTTCTACAGAAGAAAACTGAAAATATTTTTTCACAAAAACAATGAAAATAAAATAGAAAGTACTAAATGAAAACATTTAAAAATTATCTTTTGCATTTTTTTTTATTTTGCTTTATATTATTGTGTCCTGTGACATGGACTGTGTTTTTATGTAATCACGATAGTTACATATAAAGACGACAGAGCTGTGTCTGTCTTGGCCAATACTGTGAAGTTCTTCTTTGAAAGGAAATAATTTTGCAAAATCTAATAATTTGCCTGAGATTTGATAAAGGATGTTTTTGTTGTTAAAAATTAGGGTATTTTATTTCACCATTTTAGTAAAATAATTACTTGGTTTGCTAAAAAATTTTTCAGTTTCTTACTAACATCTACTTGGCTACCCATATGTATTTTATTTACTGTGACTCGTAAGATTTAGGAGCTATAAAGAAACTAATCATTTCAGAAAATTTTTTTGATCATCTGGAACATCTGCTCACATTGAAGACACGATCAAA